GGTGGGGGCGGCCCCACTGTGTCCCCCCGCAGCCTTTCCCCACCGGCCTCTTAATAAACACCGCCGAGAATTGCCCTTATACTTTGTAAATATTGGATTAGCTTTTCATTGACCGCCTCTCTTGAAAAGACCCGAAAAATCCACACCGGTTCCAAACTAAGCCAAACAGTCAATAGGTGACGAAAGTAAGTTATTTCCAGGGCTTAACGGGGCTTCCAGCTCATTATCAGGGTATCTGAGGCGCCTCAACAGTTTCTTCCCTACGAGAGGGCGGAGGAAGGAGAAAGGGGGGGGGGAATGGGGAGAAAAACAGAAAAAAAAAAAAAAAAGGAAAGGGAGAGGAACCAAACCCGACGGGCGACCTTCGCAGCGGCCGGGAAGGAGAGAAACTCACCGGGGGAGGGCGGGTAGGGGGACCGGCCGCCGGGCAAACTGGGGGTCTGCTGCCAAAACTGCCGGCAGAATGAGGGGTCGGGGGAGGTGCCGGACCCCCGGGTGAAGGCTCATCCCCGCGCTGCGGGCCCCGCTCCCATACCGCATCAACGCCAGGGCACAGCAACGCCCCCGCGCAGCGCTGCGCATCCCTCCGCCGCTGCCTGGGGTGCTGAAAATGCCAAGAAGGGTTGGGGTGGGGGGGATCCCCTCCCCCCTTTTTTTTTTCTTTTTTCTTTTTCCTTGTTTCTTTTCTTTTTCCTTTTTCTCTTTTTCTTTTCCCTTTTTTCCTTTTCCCTTTTTTCTTTCGTCTTTCTTTTTTCTTTTTCCTTTCTCATTTTTTCCTTTTCTTTTTTCTTTTTTCTTTTTTCTTTTTTCTTTTTTCTTTTTTCTTTTTTCTTTTTTCTTTTTTCTTTTTTCTTTTTTCTTTTTTCTTTTCTTTTTTTCCTTTTATTTTTTCTTTATCTCTTTCTTTTCTTCTTCTTTCTTTTCTTCTTTTTCCTTCTTCTTCTTTATTTTCTTCTTTTTCCTTCTTTTTCCTTCTTTTTTACCTTCTTTTTTCCTTTTTCTTTTTCCTTCTTTTTCCTTCCTTTTCTTTCTTTTCTTCTTCTTTTCTTCTTTTTTTTTTCCTCTTTTTCTCCTTTTTTCTTCCTTTTTTTTCTATTCCCCCCCCTTTTTTTTTTTAATCCACCCCCCTCCTCCCTCTCTCTCTCTCTTCCCC